CGCCTTTTGTCGGGAACGAGACCGGCCTTTGTTCCCCGCGAAAAATCAATATCCGGATAAACGAACGGTTTAATCGGGCCCCGATAGATAATCGCCTTATTAACTACTGTCACGGTTATTACGGACCAAGTGGATCCTCTAATGCGGAGCCAATCAACGGCCGCGACGGCGATCGACGTCGGAATTAGTCGGATAGTCCCATTCGGGGCAAGGTTCGACGACAACGAACCGGCGATCCTTCTCGTCGAGTTGATTTTCACTGATATCGGAGGATGATCCGTTTCAGCGTTGTCTATAGCGCTCGCTTCAATTGATAGTTACAGTGACGGGGGAACGATTTCCTGTTGACAGACGCTGCTCATTTCTTTTAATATTGCAGTCTGATGGACATAAGAACGATCATTCTGTCAATATTTTCCTTATTTTCCGGTGACATTTAAAGATTGCGGTAGCTGCTTATAGCAGATGGAATACCTAATATATTATGGCGGTTGACTCTCCAAAGTGGTTTCGCGGTTATTCTCATGCATTATTCTAATCTCGTAGAGGTAATCGTTATCGGGTAGATTTGCGACGGGATGATCTTCCGCTTGGATTTGAATGAATCTGAAAAAAATAAGTGGACGAAGTTGCGTGAAAAGGGTATTTCTATGGTGGGGATTTCTTTGAATCGCTAGGCGGTTGGATCGCGGCCGCAAGTTTTCCAGGAAGTTTCCGCAGTCGCGGCTTTTCCAAGACACCAGGTAGACACCCAGCAAGACGTGGGATAGTCGGTGGGTTCGCTTTAAGCGAGATAGGAGTACAGTTATCCATAAAAGTAGAGCATGCGTACGCCGGCTCTAGAACGGCAGGTGGTGTCCGCTGCCGGTGAACAAAGAGAAAAGGATAAAAAGGAACTGGAACCTACCATCAGGACACTGCGAGTCCGTTCGGCGGCCGTTCCTCTGAAATGATTGAATAATTGACCGGCTCGCTCGAAAACATGGCGCTTCGTGGAACATGTCAACGACACGCGTTTTATTGCACCTTCGCAGCCGTGATGGCGGGGACCGGTATCAAAGCGAGGCGAATTCATCCAGTCCGGTGTTTTTTTAGTTCGTAACTTTCGTGTTTCGCGGCGGAGCGTACGCTCGACTGCCGGCGAAAATTTCCATCGATAAAAGAATAACGCGTCCGGCGTACCTCGAAATTAATCCTCAAATTCCCGATCGCTCGATCGTTTCGCAAATTTATAGTTCATTAATGCGACCAAGTAACGCGAATAACCATAAAATATTCATAATTGGATTAAATCAAGCTCACCTCCGAAGGGATCGGGAGGAGAAAGTTGTCTTTCGCGAAAGAGTTATGCCGGCGATCACCTGAAAAGTTGTAAAACAGATTAGAGGGCGGGATGAATGAGATCTGTGCGCTTCGTTTAAATTGAATTAATTAGTTATTATTCATATTTTATACAATAGTAATCATAATTAAGGTATCTTAGTCCATAATATCTATATTCGTACAAGGGTACTCGATAAAATTGATAAATTGGGGTCTGCCGTGTTGTTAACCTATATGTATATAGACGATTTCTGGCTTCTTTCTTTCTCTCTCTCTCTCTCTCTCTCTCTCTCTCTCGCTCGCTCTCCCTCGCACTCGTTCTCTTTCTCTCTTTCTATCATTTTACTTTACACTCTTATCACAATATCGTATTTTACACAGATTTGTTTCATTTACGACTTACGATCTAAAAAGGGGGTTTCAGAGAGGAGGGCAGGGGGCAGGGGCCCCGGTGCAATATTTACACGGAATCGAGGATCGATCCGTACTGTCCACGGTATTTCCGATCGATCCCCGTTTGGTTGCGCCGGGGCTAGTAACGCTATTAAATTCTACGGACTCTGTGTGAATTTTTTTCAATTTTTTCTCTTATAATCATCTGTGTCACTCTTTGCACGTGTAGGTGTGTGTGTGTATACTCGTCTCGCGTCGTCTGTGAATCTGTTTCATCCTGTGGTTCGTGTACCTTTAATTAAGCATGTCCGCAAATATTCCTCAATATTTTCGTATACTTCCGAATATCGTTTCGTGTGAATGTTTTCCCTGTGTGTGTTCGTTTCAGGTGTGTGTGTCCATGTACGTTCACTCGACCACGTACATGCGTGTACGTGTAGGTACCTGTGTGTGTGTGTGCGTCGTCGACTCTACAAACTCGCGTGAAGTTTTACGGCAAACGTCCGCGACTCCCGCTATCCCCTCGACGTTCGACGAAAGCGTGACGAAGCTGAACCGCGACGCCGTGTCCGCGCGTATTGGTTCGATTCCCGTTGACGCGCGTCGTCAACCGAAAAGAAAAAAAACAGAAAATAAGGAAAAAGAAAAACGAACGGTCTGCCGGTCTCTAATCCATCACCGTACCATTTCTGTCTTTTTTTTTCTCTTCGCGTTACCATCGATCCGCGGGAGTACACGATACGAACGTCGGAAAATGGTAACGGTGCCCGGTGTTCCTCCGCGCGAGCAGAAACCGCACGCGCGCCCTCAAACATACACATACACACACACGCACATGCACACAATCACCGTCCAGCTTCCATTCGTTTCACGCCGTTCTCGCAATTTACTCGCTCTCCACGCGCAATTTAGGAACTGAGGGAGCTTCGTCTTAAATTACACACGCACACGCCTCTTTATTGCACCGAATCTAAACGCAAGAACCTGTCTCTCTCTCTCTCTTTCTTTTCTTCTTCCTCTCGTTTTCTCTTTTCCTCTCTGTTCGCGTTTTTCCACGAGGCATGTTCCGCGCCTCGTAGCTCTGCGGTCGAATCTAACGGCACTTATTAGTATACACGGAGGAATCATTGTCGTCGTCGTCCGGCTGAGACGCGGTTCCCCCCTTCGCTAGCACCGGCGGACACCGCGTCCCGATTGCCGGCCACGGGACGATGCCGCGAGGAATTTTGATTGACACCGTGCGAACGACATCTATTTTCGTCTCCAGCTGTCGCACGCTCGATGGTTCCTCCTGCCAGGAGCTATCTCGCCTGTATAGACGCGACTCTGCGGTACCGTGTCTTTGTACTGTTGCTGCCGTCTCTGGATGAGATGCTAGCTCGACGATTTCATACGAACATCTTAACGCTCCATATATTTTATCCGTCGACGATCAGTCGATAGGCTTCGGGAAATCGAATGTTGGAACTCTATGTTCTGCAGTGAATTAGTTGCGTTTGGAACCTATTTTCAATCGTTCGAAATATGTAGAATTTATTCATTGAAAACTATCTTGTAGGGAATGTTTACTGAACGTTAATCTTTTCGTATCGATCGTCGAGCAAACACAAGAATTCGCGAGATCGCTTCAACTACGGGGCTATTGGAACTTTTGCTTCCGCGATGGGTTTCGAAATTTGAAAGTTTCGAGAGGTCTAAGGGAGAATGTAAATGGTGTCGATGTAACGTTTGTCAGTGTCGCGAATCCTTGTTGCTTGGTCGGACAGGCCGCGTCTCGAGAGGCGAAAAAGAAGGCAGAATCAGGAAGTAAAGGGACCGTGCGAGACCGCGTTCTCATGAGACGACCATTGTTGCACCGACACGCCAGAGGATTTGGGTCAGCGGTGGGGCTCGCCGGCCCTCCCAGTTTCCCGTGGTCGCAAACCACAACCGTCTTTTTTTGCGGTTTCGTGGCTCCGTCTCTTTGAAAGCTAGCTATTGCTCGCGAGATGCAAGATGGCAAAGGTTGGCCAGCATGGCCGACGGAAAACAGTAAAAACAACGTACAACGCGGAACGTTTTCTGGATCGTCCCAGGTGCTGCGAACGGCGGAGAGTACGATCGGGACGGTCGGGGAAAGAAATTCCTTCGTGCTGAATCTGACTGTCACGCGTTCGCTACCAGAAACTCGCGAAATGATAACTCTGTGACGAAACGAGCCCAATTACAGCTGAAACAGTTTCACAATCTAACACTTCAGATTCGAGATTCGAAGTTTGAAATTTGAAATTTGTACTTTGTAATTTATAGTTTGCCATTCAAGTAGAATTTCCGCGCTAGCAACGTTAACGGCGTACCCAAAAATTCCAGGCGAGCTAATGATACTCAAAAGTTATCCAACAACTGGTAAACACGATTCTCACAAAGCGGCGCATCTAATGCGAGCCCGATGAAAGACGCGGTGCACGTAATCTACGGAAACAATAGCCTCGAGCGAACAAAAATCTACGAGTCACTGAATACATTTTATCCACCTTTTGTAACTATTTAAAAGCCGCTCATTGTTCCCCACACCGGCGAACGTAACCGCGGCGACCCAACCCACCGAACGTTCCCAAAAAACTTCGGCTCCGATAGCGAGGCGCGGAATAAAATCCGAATCAACCGATTCCTCTCGCGCTCTCAGGGTTAATTTCGGTGATGATCGTTCACGGAACGAGTAGAACTCAAAAATTACCCCCGTTCTGCCCGACATTCGGCCCTCTCATGAATTTAATGACCGCGCGGCGTACTGTCGACACGCGTGGTCCGAGAGGCAGCGATATTTCTTTTTTTCCTTCGTTCTCGTTCCTTTTTTCCTTTTCGATTCTTTCTCCGCCGCCGGTCGGATTCTACGAAACCGCGGTCCGGTCTTCGCTCCTTTTCGGAGGAGGTCCCCGGCGGGTTGCTTCATCCGGAAAGGAGGGACCAGTGATTACACCGTGATTGCCGAGATCGTTTGACTCACGAAAATGTCATTAGGGTTTCATTACTTCCAACCGCCTTGAGGAACGACTGCTCAACGAGTTTA